GCGAGGGGGCGCGGCCAGAGGCGGCTCGACCCGCCGCAGTCCGCCCGGTCGAGCGCACCTGGTCGAGGAGGCAAAGACGCCGAACCCGCGGGGCGAACGTCGGGTTGATTGAAGTCGGGCCTGTGCCTCTACAGGAGGGATCTTCAAAAATAGTCAAACAACAGTCTGGGGACGATGTTTTGACTATTTCTGATTATGTTTGGGGTATTGTTTGATGTTTTTTTTATGTTTAGCCCAAAATCCGTCTGTAGGGGGACACGCCCGACCTAAGGGTTGACCCAAAAGGGGGTCCAACGACAAGGGGGTGGTGCAAGTAGGTCTGGTGCAATCGACCTGTGGAATTGCAGTACCTTTGGGGCGTGCAGTGCACTCCAAGGCGCAAATGTCTTGCTGGATGTTCGCGTGCAATACATGACTTGCAATACAATGCAGTACAATTGTCCGGCGCAATACATTTGCAATACAATTGCCCCAAATCTATTGCACCACCCCTTTTCAGCTGCCAGCTGGACCCCGTTTTGGGTCACCCAAAGAGCGAGTGCTTGCATGTCCGGCTACGGACCGCTTGCCGAAGCCGGCTTCGAGCTGTGGAGTTACAGCATCCGCATGCGTCGTGCAGAATGCGAAAAAGCGCGATCTTCTCACAATACGGGACATCTGCTGGACCCGATGACATGAAAATGAGAGTGATCGCTTGCTTTGCGTAGCAGGCCCAGGACATCCTGTCTCACGCCATCTCGCAGAATAGAACAGCAGACGCGTGCATGGGCAGAGCAGTTGTCTTTGCTCAGATCTGGCTTGGGACCGTCCTCGGACCTCTGGATGAGTTGTTTTCTTGTGGTTCGGTGAATCATTCTTGAGCAGAGAATCTGAATGGCCGCCTGACCGAATCCTTGTGCGCATCACTCGTTTACATTATCTTGTCCCCCACTTGTTCGACCTGAGCCGTCGCACGCCCACATGGGTTGTCCACCGTGGGCGACTTCACCACCCCCGTTTCTTGCCCTTCCCCGTAGACGGTCCCTTCGGCGCTGGGAATCGGCCTGCGTACAGCTGTCTGAACCATGCGTCGTTCTCCCTCCTGCTCAGGAGGTCGAGGCGCTCCAGCGTGAGAAGTGCTCCAAGGAGGAGCTGAACCAGGCCCCGATAGGGGGGGGCGAGCCTCGAGCTGCGCTAGTCGAGCAATCCCTCCGCTCGTTGCGACGAGATCCCGCAACCGGCCATACGGCCCGGCCCAGCCGTGCCAGGACAGTGAGTATGGGGTCGACACCCAGGGCCCCCTCCAACCGCCCCGAAGTCTTCTGCTGCCCAGCCGCGGCAGGCAGCTCGGCCTGGCCGTGGAGATGTTGCCCCATCCCGCCACCGTGCTTGGGTTGTGGGTACGAGCCCTACTGGATGTTCGTTGGGATCTCGTGGTAGGCCTCTTGGAGGCAGTTTGGAGGCCTCTTGGGGGCCATGTTGGGCCCTCTTTTGGGCCTCTTCTGAGCCTCTTGGGGGCCTCTTGGGGGTCTCTTGGGGGTCTCTTGGGGCCGGAGCCTCTTGGGCGCCTCTTGGGGGCCTCCTGAGGGCCTCTTGGGGCGGAAAGCTCGGATGTTCGGTTCGCGTTCCCTCTCTCGGGCCCCTTTTTGGGGCCGTCTTGGGGCCCTCTTGGGCCGTCTTGGGGCGCCTCTTGGGCCGTCTTGGGGCGCTTTCAGGCCGTCTTGGGGCCCTCTCGGAGGACTCTTTGGCCGTTTCGGGTTGGTCTTGGGGGCCTCTTGGGCCGTCTTGGAGCATTGGAGAGCCGAATAGGCGAGAACGCCAAAATCATTCAGTGTTTGCCTCTCGGGGCCCTCTTGGGATGCCTCTTGGAGGCCTCTTGGGGCGTTTTCTCGGAGACCTCTGGGGCCATCTTGAGGCCATCCTGGGCGTCTTGGAGCGATCTCTCGGTTGACACGGGGCCCTCTGAGGACCGCCTCGGGGGGCCTCGGAGTGGCCCTCTCGGCCCGTCTTGGGACCCCCCGTGGGTCCCGCAAGGTCGTGCGACGAGATGCGCCGGCAGGAGCCCCGCGGGGCACGCGGGAAGCCCCGGTGGACTTCAGGGCGCGGGGTCCGGCGGGCCCCCCTGCAGTGGCTCTCCAGGACGGGGGAGCGAGGCGGCAGGCACGAGGCGCAGGGCTCGAGAGCACGCCCACTCCGTGCCCAGAGGCACGGAGGCGGAGATCCGACCGACGGCCCATTCAAGTCAAGCCGAAGGGTGCCTGGCGGGTTTGGAGGGGGGCTCGGTCCCCTGGGCGCCTCCAGCAAGCCAAAAACGCCACAGGTTCTGTTCTTTGGGACGCTGCTTCGAGCTTCAGCAGACTCAGCTTTCTTCTCGAAGCGCCCGAGACGGCTCCAGGGGCTTCCAGGATCGGCCCCGGAACGGCCCAGGCGGCGCCCAGGACGGGCCAAAAGGACCCTAGTAAGTGGGGCCCGGAAGGGGGCCCAGGACAGCCCAAGATGGCCCTGCGCCCAGGCTGGTCCAAGGCGGCCCCTGAGGCAGTCCGAGAGGCGCCCTGCACGGCCCAAGACGACCCCGAGAGAGGCCCCCACGAGGCCACGGCCCACTGGAGGCTCCGAACGGCCTCTCCAGCAAGAGGGGGGCGGGACCAGCAGCGAGAGAGGCCCCTCACGGCCGTACAAAACAGCAGTTGTTGGCGCTCCGGCCGCCCTAGCCACCTCTTCTGGGCGACGACGACGGCGACGGCGACATCAACGACGACGACGACGAGGACGAGGACGACGACGACGACGACGGCGACGGCGATGGTGACGGCGACGGCGCCGACGCCGACGCCGACGCCGACGCCGATGCCTTGTCGCTCCGCGGGATTTTGCGGCGAGTAAGGGAGGGGATGTTCTGCAACATATGCAGCGACATCTTGGTTCAGAGCGCCGCGGCCAGGACATCCCAAAACCGTTGGCCCGCTGCGATCCATACTGTGATGCATCGTCGCTCCGACGCCTCCAACGCGGCCCGAGCCTGCGCTGCGTTTGCCCGGGCTCGCTCCCGCGCCCGCTGCGATCCCAGCGCGAAATGTCCAACCCTGCTCTGGCTTGGACTATGGAGCTTCTTGCTGTCGCGGAGGTCGAACACTTCGACCCCCGCATCACTGCATTTGGCGTTTTCGGGGCGTGGGGGGTACAGTAGAACAAACTTCACAGGAACTACGGCAGTTGCTGACACCCTCGCGCAATCTAGTGCGCACGACCAAACTCCGATCCGCTCAACTCCGTGGATCCAACCCGCAGATTCGCACTCCTTTCGTGTATATGTAGTAGGTATGCACACAGATGCAATCCAGCGGATTGCTCCTAGGCCCCGTGTAGCTCATTTCTAAATGCCGGCGACCTTGCACTCACCACCTACCAAACCACCCCAACCCAACCCGAAGGCCTCAATTTGCAATTCATTTCCAGTGGTGGGGTGGGTCGGGGAACATGGAAAAAACACATGGAAACCGTACCCCCTCCCAAACCCGAAATTCGGGTCAAATTTGGGTCTTCAGGTTAGGTTGGGGTGGTCTGGTAGATAGTTATACACGCCACCGCTCTCCCTTGAAGGCACAGGTAGCACTCGTAAGCGGGCCGCCGTGTCTATGCTGCCGTGGCGCACGGGGGCGGCCGCGTCGGGCGAGCCGACTCCGAGTCCCGCCAGCGGGGACCTCCCCGCGCGGTGGTCCGTCGCCTCGGAGCGCCGGCTCTCCTCGCGGTTCGCGGGGAGGTGGGGGAGGAAGGAGGGGCTCGAGGAGGAGAAGGTGCCGATCCCTTGCGCTCGTCCCGGAGAGCCCTCGTCGCCACGGCTGGACGTTCCCCGGCGTTCTGGGTCAGAGTGCGGGCCGGGGGAGGTCCGAGGCGTACTAGTATCGGTGTTTAGTTGTTTCCCAAGTTGGAGGAGGATGAGGAGCAGGAGGAGGAGGAGCTTGAGGACGAGAGCGGAAGAGGCGGAGAGAGGGGGAGGATGAGGATTAGGATGGGGATGATGCTGATCATGCTGATGATGATGCTGGTGATGGTGATGGTGATGGTGATGGTGATGGTGATGGTGATGGTGATGGTGATGGTGATGGTGATGGTGGTGATGACGATGATGACGATGATGACGATGATGACGATGATGATGATGATGATGATGATGATGATGATGAGGATGATGATGATGATGAGAGAAGATGAGGGTGAGAGAAGATAATGATGATGATGATGATGATGATGATGATGGTGATGATGATGATGATGATGATGATGATGATGATGATGATGATGATGATGATGATGATGATGATGATGATGATGATGATGATGATGAGAGAAGATGAGAGAAGATGAGAGAAGATGAGAGAAGATGAGGATGAGAGAAGATGAGGAGGAGGAGGAGGAGGAGGACGACGACGAGACTTCGGAGGAGAGGGATTCGAAGCTGAAGGAGGATTTAGAGGAGCTGGTAGAGTTGTAGGAGGACTTCGAGGAGTGGGAGGAGGGGGGGAGCGCGACCCGAGTAGACCCATGATGCGCCAACGATGCTGCACGACACCCTGCCGTCCCAGGCCCCTTGCCCGTTTAAGACCCGGCAGCCTCTGCGCGTCGCCACCCGGACCGCCCCCTCCCAGAGCCTCGCGCACCGTGGGGCCTGCCGTGCGGGCGAGAGCCCCGCTGTGAAAAGGACTGCCCTGCCATCCCCCCCAGCGAGCTGCAGGGAACGCGAAACGGTTGGATCACACATTCCACCGGTGCGTCCAGCGAGATATCCGCTTTCATCAGGAGGGGAAGAAACACACACAGACACCATGAATCGACGATTCCTCAGAAAATGCGGGAACATGTGGGAAGTGGGGGGGAAGACAAAACCCCAGAAAAGATAGGAACCTATGGGGAATCTGGTTATCTGTGTCTATCTATTTGTGTGTCCCAGTTCCCCCTCATCTCAGCAGCATCCGCCTCCCCCCCCGTCAGTGCACGGAGCGGCTGCACCCGCTCACAGTCTCGAGCCATCGAGTTCGCGAAACGCTCCAGCGACAGCTCCACCTGAGAAGAGAGCCGCCCTCCGCCCGTGCAGGCATCACGCGTGTCCAACAGCCCGTGCGCAGCCGAAGGGGCCAGCCCCCTGTCAGTGCAGCAGGCTTCTGAGACGAGTGCCGGCGGCGCGCAGGCAATACGCAGCCCCATCTTGAGAGCGAAGGGGCCCACAGCGGCGACCCATGCCAAGAAGCACCTTGCTCGCCTCCAGGGTGCCCTGGGTTTCTCGGGTTTCGATGGATTTGCCATGGCAAGCGTGACGTTCCCGCACCCGAAATCCAGGGACGTCCTGGGGTCTCAGGGTTGAGCTTCTTGTGGAAAGTCTCGTGTGAATTGGCCTCCACTGCAAGGCAATACGTAGCCCCAGCCTGAAAACGCATGGGCCCACATCCCTCCATCTCTCAGGAGGGGAAAACAACACACAGACACAATTAATCGTCGATGCCCCAGGAAACAAGGGAAAAAGGGAGGGGTGAGGGCTTCTTAGAAGCACGCCTGCTTCTTCTGAGAAGCCCTCCCCCCTCCCTCCCACCCCCCTTGTGCGCACCGCCAACTTGCACTGCGAGTGTGCGGGGCGCCGGGGCGACAACGCAAGCTTGAAGACGGCCGGCCTGCCGCTCTCGGGGTCGCCCGCGCGGGGGCGCGCGAAGCGCACCGCGCCTCCGCTCCTCGCGGGGCCCGGGCCGGAGGTCGGCAGAGAGCGGCTGCCGACCTTTGGCAGGGGGAGCGGCGCGAGGGCGCGGAGAGGGTCGCGCGCCTGGCTGGGCGCGGTGCGCGGAGCGGGCTGGCCTGGAGTCTTGGGCGCCCTGCTTGAATTCCACGTGCACTTTTCCCTGCTCCTCCTCCTCCTCCTCCTCCTCCTCCTCCTCCTCCTCCTCCTCCTCTTCGTCGTCCCAGTGTGACCCACTTGCGGGCCGTTCCCGCTTGTGTTGCCCTTGGCCCCCAGCGCACAAGCACAGCTTCTCACTGGGAGCCGACTCCAGTGGCCTGGCGTGTAGCCAGGGCCACGGCTCTTCTTTAAGCCAGCGTTCATGCCCACGCACCGCTTTGTGTATTGTTTGTCAGTCAGGAAATCAGCTACAGATGTGTGAGGCCAATGTGCGCCGCGCTAAGGGGAGTCGCATGTTGAATACCTCTGGTCCTGCATCCTTGGATCTCTGCAAGTGGTCGAGCTCCAGGATCGCAAGGCGAAATTAGATCTCAAGCGAAGCGCCCAGTCTGTGGCACGTCTGACTGTGTGGCATGGAAGAGATATTCACAAGGAGAGAGATCGAGGATGAGGAGGGAGCAGAAGGAGGAGCACAAGAAGAGGGTGGAGAGGATGGTGGAGGGAAGAGGGGGGAGGATAATGGCGTTGAGGAGGCAGGAGGTGTCAGGAGGAGGCAGGAGTTTTGAGGGAGGGAGAAGTTCAGGGGCAACGATAGGGGGGATAGGAAAAGGGTGGGCTGCATCGATCCCAACTCGCCAATTGATCGCCGATAGGGGGTCTAATAGCCCCGCCCCGCCCAGGAACGTGCGGATTCGCTGTCGGGGGCCTGTCGCCGATCTATCGACGGTATATCGCCGATTCCAGGTCGACGTTTCCCCCCCGATGCCAGGTCCCCCCCGATCGTTGCCCCTCAGAAGTGAGAGGATAGGGCAGCCTAAGGAGCAATCCAGAAAAACAGAGCAGGGACGAGGGAGCTGGGGCGTGGGGAGAAAAGAGGAGAGGCACGTTGGGGATGGAGGAGGAGGAGGAGGAGGAGGAGGAGGAGGAGGAGGAGGAGGAGGAGGAGGCAGGGGACGGAGGTCGGGGAGGAAGGGGGAACATAATGAGGAGGAGGCGGAGGAGGAGGAGGAGGAGGCGGAGGGACACTTTTTGGTTGCAGCCATGGCCTTGTGGGAAAAGAGCGGAGGGTGGTTGGAAGAGGGATTGGTAAAAGGGAGGTATGAGAAAGGTATCAGGCGGTTTCTACGCATGAGTTTGGAGGTGTCCGGGCTGGGAAGGGGGAGGAAGAAGGAAGGAGAGAGGAGGGAGGGAGAGAGCAGGAGGCGGAACATGGAGGAGGAGGAGGAGGAGGAGGAGGAGGAGGAGGAGGAGGAGGAGGGAGGGCAGGAGGAGGAGGAGGAGGAGGAGGAGGAGGAGGAGGAGGAGGGAGGAGCAGCAGGAAGAGGGGGGCGAAGCAGGAGCGCAACAGGAGAAAGGAGCAGGGGCGGGAAGGGGGAGAGCGAGGAGAGGGGGGCGGAGGGGCAGGGGGGGGGTGGAGTGAGGAAGGCAGGAGGGCCGGAAGCCGCGGCGCAGGTCCGCGCGCACAGCACGGCGGAGCTGGGCAGGCACGCGGGCCTGCTGCAGGAGGACCTCCCCCCGCGGCCGCGGCGGGGCCCCCCGCGCGCTCCGCCGGCGCGGTCTCCGGCAGCCTCGTCGGCGCCGGTTCGGCCCAGCTGGGGCCGAGGGACGAGGCACCGCGCGCAGGGGCGAGGGCGCGCGGGCTCCGAGGCGGGCCCAGGCCTCCGAGGCGAGGTCGGCGCGCGCCGTCGCCGAGTCGAGCGGCGGGAGCTCCATGCCTCGGAGCGCGTCCTCCCCGAGCCGCGGAGCTGGCGCCCGCGCGCCGGGTCCGCGGTGGCGTGAGCCGTGTCAGCGTGCGCCCGTCATGGGGGCCTCGACGCAGTGACCCACGAGAGCCCTTCTGCGGCGGCCGTGCCACCACGTGGCGCCGCAGTCGCTCGCAGCGGCTGCTCTCCCTTCCCGGAACAGCAGCTGGCCTGCAGGAGTCCTGCACCCGTGAGTCCGTCTGCGCACGAGGCATTCGAAGGAAGGGCCGTGCCGTCGAGGATCGAAGGAGTTGCCGTCTTTTCCGTGGCGGCCGGGCGGCGGAAGGTCGGCGGAAGTACAACGAGGCCGCCTCCGCCGGCGGAAGACCGGCGGAAGGCGTCGGACGGCGGCGGGAAGTAACATCGGCACGAACGAAATGGGTGCGGAAAGCATGGGTACAATGCCCAACAGCGGTTCCTGTTCATTTTGAAGAGGACTCGCTGTCGGTGTCGCCGCGGCCTGTGTACATTTCATCATTTGATACCGAAGGCCGCCTGTCCAAAAGCGGCCGCTGTTGGTTTGGGGCAACATTTGTTGTTGGGCATTGTGCCCATTTTTCCCGTACCCATTCCGGGCGTCCAAATAAAAAATGCGCCCCCAAGAGATGAAAACGTTTTGGGGTTCAGGGCTTCCGGCATCGACCATAGAGACGCATGTGTATGCATCGGCGGTTCAAAGAGGGGGTCCTGAGGGATGGGGTCCTACGGATAGGAAGGGATCCAAGGGTGAGTTTACGTTATGTGAGGAACCTCGTCCTTAGGACCCCATCTCTGAGGCTTCCACCTTTGAACCAACGACGATACACACACAAACACACACACACACTTTTTCTTTCGGCCGGTGGGTTCCGATCCAGGTCCCGAATCGGTGGCCCGGGGTCTCTGGTCGGTGTCTCTGGTCGTGGCCCCAGGGTGCTTGGTCGTGGTGGCCCGCAGCACCTGGTCGTATACAGTGGGGGCCCATGCCAAGAAACACCCTGCTCGCCTCCAGGGTGCCCTGGGTTTCTTGGGTTTCGATGGTTTTGCCATGGACAGCGAGCGTGACGTTCCCACGCCAAAAATCAATGGACGTCTTGGGATCTCAAGGTTGGGTTTCATGTGGAAGGTTTCTTGTGGTCGGGCCCCACTGCAGTACATCCCTCGTGGCCTTGGGCCTAACCTCGAAGAGGAAAAAAACGCCATGAACCTAAAGTTTTGGCGCTCCGCGCAGATTTCTTGGATCCGCGCTGGGCCCCCTCCCCCCACGGCTCCTCCGGCGCCGCCCCTGGCGCATTCCGCGTGCCAGGGAGGGGGTGTCCAGCGCGGATCCAAGAAATCCGCGCGGAGCGCCAAACGTTTATGTTTATAGCGTGTTTTCTTTTTCTATAGCCCTCCACCGATCCTAGGTCAGAGGCCTCTTTGGATGCATCGAGGGTCTCTTTGGGGGCCGCTCGGGGGCCTCCTGGAGGGCTCTTAGGACATCTCGGAGGCTCCTTGGAGGCCGTCTTGGGGACATCTTGGGTGCCTCTCGGGGCCCTCTTGGGGACCTCTTGGAGGCCTCTTGGGGAATATTGGGGGCGCCTCTGATGGGCTCTTGGGCCCATCTTGGAATGGAGGGCTCGAAATGTTAGTTCGGGTTCCCCATTCTGGGCCCCTCTTGGGGCCGTCATGGGGGCCTCGTGGGATCGTAATGGGAGCTTCTCGAGGCCGTCTAGGTAGCCTCTTGGGGGCCTCTTGGGTCGTCTTGGGGCGATCTTGGGAGCCTCTCGGGGCCGTCTTAGGCGCTCTTTAGACCGAAATCGCGATAGTGCTAAGATCTTTCGGAACCAAAGGGATTTGCACGATGAGTGGCCTAGTGGGGCCTTTCTGGGGGTCCTATTGGTCCCTTCTCGAGGCGTCTTGGCGGCCTCTTCGGCCGCCTGGAGGTCAACTGCTCTTGGGCCATCTCGGGCCCCCACTGGAGCGTGTCCTCTTCAGCCCCTGTGAGCTCGTCTTCGGGCCTTCTTGCCCTCGGGAAAGTCCTGCGAAAAGTCCCAAGAGCCACGCGAGAACACGCCACACACCCCGGCAATTTGGGATCCAAGCCCCATGATACTCATCACTCCGGACTGGGCACTCGAATGGACCTGAGGACACTCCGACTTGTTCCTCGAGGCACGGTGATGGGTTACACATGTTCCCGAAACAATTCCCCAATCAGTGCCTGCACTGAAGGGGTCCTAGCGGAAATTGAAAGATTTGGCGTAAGTGTTCTGCCGATTTTGGTGGCCGGCTGGGTTCTTTGGTCCCGGGTTCCCGGGTTCCCCGGTTCTTGGTTATTGGTTCCTCGCCGATTTCGGTGGGTTCTGGGTTCCCGGGTTCCCGGTCGATCTCTTTATCGATCAAACCATCCACTGATTAGGGTTCTTCTTTGGTGCAC